TAGGGCACTATTTCTTCCACTGATAACAGTTATGGGGTACTATTCCTCCCATTAATACCAATGATGGCATACTACTCTACATACTGAGCACCATCCCTGAGGCCATGTTTATTCTCACTGATGCTGGGCCTGAAACATTTCTACCCCCACTGGCCACATTTCGGCCCTCTTAAAGTCTGAAGGACCATAAATAAGCCCTTTGGTTGAAAATTTGAACTATGTGATGAAAAAAAAAGTAAAACTTTTTTTTCTATAAAAAAATTAGGTTACTCCTAAGCACATAACATTCCCCCTAAAACAATTTTGAGGCCCCCCCACCCCCACATATATGCATGTACAAATGTAAATGCACATGTCAGGGCGTCTACACAAAAACACCCGTTGATTTCAATACAAGTTACAGATCGCCGCAAATGCTGGAGAGCAATAATTCTAGCACCAGACCTCCTCTATAATGTTAAACTGATGACCTATAGGGGTATACTCTAGGGTACTGATGTTTGTCACCATTTAATAGGCGCACACAAATTTGGCATTTTGGGTACCTATTTACTCAACACAACCTTGTCTTTTATATTTTACCACAAATTTAGGTAATTTATTGCATTTGTTTGCCCTAAAATTCACTTTATTGTAATTTTTACTGAAATTTTGTGTTTCCTAAAATGTAAAAATGGCTCTGGGAGCGAAAGGGTTAAGGGCCGGTTCACACCATGCATGCATCTGAATCGCACAGGAATGTGCTGTGTGATGCTATGTGATTCGCAGGTGGTTCTGTGTGGTGCGTTTCCAGCCCATTAATTTTGAATGGGCTGAAATCGCACTGCACCACCCCAAAAGTAATGCATGCACTACTTTTTAAAACACACTGTATCCAGATCGCATGGTACAAAAGTACCATGCAATCCAGTGCAGGCAGGTGCAGGAAAATGCACTGCGTTTTCGACTTGCATTTGAGGTGTCGTTAACTCTTTTTTTCCATAAAGTATTTTTATTGAAGGAAAATAAAAATATTTATACAACATAGTGATACACAATAACATGGTGTACCGTGCAGGAAAAGCATACAGGAGCACTTACAGTTGGTATTCATTGCTCAACATAAATCTACGCATTCAAATGTTTAGAGAAAAAAAAAAAAAACTAGGGGAATAGGTGAAGGGGGAGGGCAGGAAAAAGAAAGCTGTGGGCTCCAGTCCCCAGATGGAAGGGGCCCTTATGACCAACAGGGTCCGTCCAGGCCAAAAATGGAAATCAGTATAATCCGCAATGGTGACTTCCAAGAAGGATCCAGAACTCATAAATCAAAACAACAGAACAATACATCTGCAGTAGGAATCACTTGCCTTTCTGCCCTGGAGCCACTCCAGTCTCAGCAGCAACCATCAGCACAGTCAATGCCGACAGACGCACTTGCAGATTGACAGGAAAATTTGCAAAGGACCAGTTCTCTATATTAAGACGTGACCTGCCTATATGGATTGGTTGCCCTAAAATGAATCCAGCAAGCCCAAATTGTTGTAAAGGCGGAAACCTGTCCTGTGAGATGTGGATCAGTTCTTCCATTTCATCTGTTCTATTTACTCTAAAGAACCAATCACTCAGGGATCATGTATAAAGCCAGTAAGCTGGCACATACATCCTGACAGCATAAATCAAATGAGCCCACAAAGTGAAGATAAGTCCACCATATGTGGAGGAAAGACCCAGTTTTGTTTAGGCAACGTCAGGAATGGTCAGAAAGTCATTAAACTAATGACATCAGCATCAGCTTCAGACCACAAATGTAGGGCATTTTGCGTGCGGTTTGAATCACACAGGAATGCACAGCGCCAGGGGTAGACTGACCATTTGGAAACCTGAGGGCCCGGGGTCAGTAGGGGGCCCCCATTAGATGCCCCTGGTACCTTTTTCATAGGCTGTTTTGAGTTTGGGCAAGGACACAGGGGCCCCATGATCCTCTATTGCCCGGGGGCCCCATGAGTTGTCAGTCCGCCCCTGCATAGCGCGTTTCTGTGCATTTCAGATGAGGGCATGGTGTGAACTGATACTAAAGAACTATACTCTGCAATGCAGTTTTGCAGAGTGCCAGCAGATGGAGCCATGCCTTAAGGAAAAAAAGCCTTATTTTAATTATTAGGTTGCTTGGCAATCTCAAAAATAGGAATTAAAAAAGTACCGTAGTTTAATAATAGTAGATACACTGTATAGGTTTTTTAAATGTTGATCCTTTCTAATACTTTAACTGGGGAGCTGACAAAGAGAAACTGCTGCCACTTTTGCTCTATAATAAATACAGGAATCCTCACTGTAAGAGAGTATGTGATAATTACATGCTGGACTTGAAGACAAAATTACAACACAAGAATAAAGGCATAGTTCAGTGGAGAAAATCCCTATACATCCAGTAAAAGCCCTGACTCTTAAAAAAAATGGTGACAGTGCCTTAAAGTATAGCTAAGGGCAAAACTCCAGAAGATTTACCCCCCTTCCTGGCCAGGCTACTTTTTGCGGTACGGCCCTGTGTTACTTTAACTGACAATTGTGCGGTCATGCAACGCTACACCCCAAATTAAATTTATGTCCTTTTTTTCCCATAAACTGAGTTTTCTTTTGGTGGTATTTCATCACCTGTACGGTTGTTATTTTTTGCGCTATTAAAAAAAAACCAATTAAAAAAAAAAACTATTTTTGCTATAAAACATATTCAATAAAAAAATTTAAAACATCTAATTTTGCTATAAATTTAGATCAAAATGTATTCTGCTACATGTCTTTGCTAAAAAAAAAATCCCAATACTTGTAAATGAATTGGTTGATGTAAAAATTATAGCGTCTACTAATGGCGGTATATATATTGCAATTTTTATTTATTTTTATTATACTAGTAATGGCGATGATCAGCAACTTATAGCGGGACTGCAGTGGGCATTCTGACACGGGGGGAAAATGACTGTCACTGACATCCCAATGACACTAATACAGTGATTAGTGCTAATAAAAAGCATGGACACTGTACTAATGGCACTGGGCAGGAAGGGTCAATGTCTGGGGCAATCAAAGGGTTAACTGTGTGCTGTTTTACTATTTTGTCTGTATGTGTTTTATTGTGTAAGCATGCTGCTTTGTATTGCTCTGTTATGCTATCAAACTAAAAGGGATGCTTGCTATATCTGGTCATTTCTGACAGACCAGAAACTGCATCAAATATGCAAGTCTGGGTACCTTTGAACAACAAGGACTGCAGTATGGTGCCCAGGGGCGGACTGACAACTCATGGGGTCCCCGGGCAATAGGGGATCATGGGACCCCTGTGTCCTTGCCCAAACTCAAAAAAGCCTATGAAAAAGGTACCAGGGGCATCTCATGGGGCCCCCTACTGACCCTGGGCCCTTGGGCAGTGCCCATAGTTTCCAAATGGTCAGCCTGCCCCTGATGGTGCCTCCTGAGTTGCACATGAGGTTACATAAACTATGTACGTCATAAAAACTTTTATTAAGGCCAGATAAATGTTTACCCAGGGGGTCTTTTTCACACACAAGATTCACACAGCTTTCACCCAGGGCTCATACATTTTCCAGTGATCCAATCTGAAAAATATGCATAACTTGGGTGAAAATTGTATAAATCTTTTGAAAAGAAAACTTTTATAAATAGACCACCTAGTGTTGTAGACTTGAAACTTTAAAAAAAAAAAGATTGAACCTACAATCTGAAAAGGATCCCATCCTGGTGTTTTGTAGATTGCTACTGGTTCTTCTTGATGTCTGAATGACTCTCTGCTGTCATTCTCTTACATTCTTGAGGACCTCAAGACTAGGTCAAATGACGATTTCAACTTTTTGAACATTCAGTACAATCCACACAACACTCTGGGAAACGTAAAATCAAAGAACTAAAAGTTCAAACCCTGACAGGTTCTCAGCTCTATTTAAAAAAAATGCTGAGCGATATCATTTTTAACTAGACTCCTAGTGAAAAAGCTGAACTCTCCTCTTAATCAACTCATACATAGAGACTAAGTGGGGTTCGTTCCTTGCTGCCAAGTGTCGAACAATGTTAGAAGCACTATCCTCCTTATAGATGTGAACACCAAAGTGTTCACTATCCTTCTTACAAAAGTAAGTACCAAAATAAATTACTTTTATTCAATGTTAATTTAATCAGACGTATTGTATCAGAAGTGGAGTTCATTATGTTTTTATGGTCACAATTGTTTTACTGGTACATAATATACACTATATTAAAAAAGTATTGGGAAGCCTGTCTTTACACACACATGAACTTTAATGGCATCTCAGCCTTAGTCCGTAGGGTTCAATATTGAGTTGGCCTGCCCTTTGCAGCTATAACAGCTTCAACTCTTCTGGGAAGGCTGTCCACAAGATTTAGGAGTGTGTCTATGGAATGTTTGACCATTCTTCCAGAAAGACATTTGTGAGGTCAGGCACTGATGTCAGATGAGAAGGCCTGGCTCGTAGTCTCCGCTCTAATTCATCCCAAAGGTGTTCTATCGGGTTGAAGTCAGGACTCTGTGCAGGCCAGTCAAATTCCTCCACCCCAAAACCACTAATCCATGTCTTTATGGACCTTGCTTTGTGCACTGGTGCGCAGTCATGTTGGAACAGGAAGGGGCCATCCCCAAACTGTTCCTACAAAGTTGGGAGCATGAAATTGTCCAAAATGTTTTGGTATGCTAACACCTTAAGAGTTCCTTTCACTGAAACTAAGGGGCCAAGCCCAACCCCTGAAAAACAACCCCACACCATAATCCCCCCTCCACCAAACTTTACACTTGGCACAATGCAGTCAGGCAGGTACTGTTTTCCTGGCAACCGCCAAACCTAGACACGTCCATCAGATTGCCAGACAGAGAAGAATGATTTGTCTCTCTAGAAAACACATTTCCACTGCCCTAGAGTCCAGGGGTGGCATGCTTTACACCACTGCATCCCATGCTTAGCATTGCACTTGGGGATGTAAGTTTTGGATGCAGCTGCTTGGCCATGGAAACCCATTCCATGAAGCTCTCTACGAACTGTTGTTGTGCTAATCTGAAGACCACATGAAGTTTGTAGGTCTTTAGCTCTTGACTCTTCAGACACTTGGTGATTTCTGTGCACTGTGCGTTTCAGCATGCGCTGATCCTGCTGTCATTTATCGTGGCCTACCACTTCGTGGCTGAGTTGCTGTTGTTCCCTGTTGCTTCCACTTTGTTATTATACCACTAGCAGTTGACTGTGGAATATTTTTAGTAGCAAGGAATTTCATGGATGGACTTATTGCACAGGTGGCAACCTATCACGGTACCACGCTTGAATTCACTGAGCTCCTGAGAGTGACCTATTCTTTCACAAATGTTTGTAGAAGTAGTCTGCATGCCTAGGTGCTTGATTTTATACACCTGTGGCCATGAAGGTGATTTGAACACCTGAATCCAATGATTTGGAAGGGTGTCCCAATACTTTTGGCAATATAGTGTATTTAGATTTTACAGTATATACCAGCGTTTCTCAACCCTTTTTCAGTCAAGGCACCCTTCAAAATTATGGATAATTTCAAGGCACCCTTTAACATTATGGACAGTCTTGAGGCACCCCATTCTAAAATGTAAAAAACTATTCTAATAATTTTACATTATGCATCAACATCCAAACACGTAGGACACCCAATGTTAGAGGTAATTTATACTTCCAAATCAAATACACTTTTGCACACTGGTACTGACTAGTATTCTAGTGTTTCTCTTCTCCCTAAGTTTTTCTCCATAACTCAGCTAATGTGACCCCAGCACTGATGGATAGAGGCAGGGAAGGGTCAAACAAGGGTGCTGTGCAAATAACCAACATCATCCTTATCAATTGATGATGTTATTGGATCGCTTCTCGGCCTTTTGGCTAAGATCAAGTGTAGTATCTGTTCTTATCAGTGTCCAGTGGGGGTGCTCCCGACCATTCTAGTTTACGGGGATGGTTGTTGTATAGTACCCTCACTGGTATGATGGGGGTCCGGAAGGCTAGTACCGGAGGGACAGAAACCAGGGAGCGCCATGATTCGTTCTGGGGCCTTGGGAGTAATTCCTCTGGGGAGACCGGAAAGACCCAGTACCTCCTGATCTGAACATGCTACCTTGGTCTGGCCTGGGGCTGGGGACGCAAAAAGTCCGCAAACTCAGTGCCCCCTGGGGAAGACGCTCTCAGGGGTGTCACTAGTAACACTTGGGTGTGGGACCCCACGGTGTGAAGATGACACATGGCCACTGTTTTTCACTTCTTTTTGCACAGCGCCCTAAGGACCAGGTCTTTTGGCTAAGTCCAGGGCAATTTTTGCTACGGGCCTCAGGGCCTGGTCTGTGCACATTTCGGCACGGTACCATTTTTATTATTTTCTTACTTTTCTTATTTATTTATTTATTATCACTCCCACGTTTGTCACTTTTTCTTTGCCTTATGCGTGTGTTTTCATGGATGGAGGGTGTGGGTCCTCGGGCCTAACCTGAAGTCTAGGGGGAGGATGTGTGGCCATACGGTTCCTTCCTCCCCTGATCCCTAGGGGGTTTTCTCTTCGGGAGAACCCCCTCGCCTAGTACTGGATGTCCGGCTTCGGCTGGGCATAAGGAACGGTGGTCCACCAGGCCTTTTGGCCAGGAGGACCAAATGGGAACCTTGTTCCTGTCAGGAGCTTCGTGCCCCGGGGGATCAGGCGAACGGTCCAACCCTTTCGGGGGTAGGACAAACACACCCCTAAGTGCACGTTTTTTCATGTGGTGTTTTGCACTTGCACTTTTTTGCGGACACTTACGGGTTTTTCGATATAGTTGCACGTTTGCGGACTTAAAAAAAAAAAAAAAAAAAAAAAAAAAATTGATGATGTTATTGGTTGTTGGGATGCCTGCAGCTAGAAGGTCTTAATGGTGCACAATGAAAACCCGTGGCTTTGTGTAACTAAAAAGCAGGCTTGTACGCAATTTTTGGACAATTTTTAGGCATTTTTCCAAGGCACCCCTGAAGAAACCTCAAGGCACCCTGGTTGAAAAAGGCTAATATATGTACATTTAGACAGTATTACACTTTTAGATAATTTTGCACTTTGTATGAACCCAAATTATGTGGAGGCCTTGTTGTACCTCATATACTCTATACTATTATTATATTGCTGCCCAGATCACTCCCCCTGTTCAATTACACTCCACATCAGAGTTACCATTATTGACCTTTTTAGGCATGCTAGATATCCACCCAGTTTCCATCTTGTCTCTTATCTGGATGCCCCACCCCTATTCCATAAGCCCTTCAACACACTCCAACAACTATTCTGTAGGATTCATATCGCCTCATCTCCCACTGCTCCACCTCTTTATTAGCCCTCTGTTCCCTCCTGAAATAGATGATTCTCAACACTTGATGGTGAAAGACACAAGGTTCTACCACGATCTATTTGTTATTGACTCTCCACAGGATTGGAATCTTTCTTCATCTTCAAGAGTCTCTCCAAGCTTCCAGCAAAAAAAAAACGATTCTGCTATTTACAAATAAGGCACTTTGTAGAGTTTCTATTCAAACATTGAGACTCACCCATGCTGCATTTAAATCAAGCTTTAGATCCAACCCCATGACATAAGGAGTTATATCTCTCTTATGTTCTACTATCTTAGGCAACTTTTCCCACTGAGCTCCTCCTTAAAGCACTTGATGGAAATATGAATGCAACAAAAGCCTTACCCTGGAAGAATTGGTATGATCTAACTGTCTCTATCGAAGTGCTCCTGAAATGTACAAGCATTGGAAAACTCTATCAAGTGATATATTGCTGGTATTTTACTCCAGCAAGACTAGCCAAGTGCATTCCTTCTTAGAGGGTACAAAGAAACAGGTGACATGCTCCGCATATGCCCTATCCAAAGGCCATGTGCCTCTAAATAAGGGTTTACACTACCAACAAAAAGACCTTTGGGGAGGCCCTTCTTCAAAAATCTATCAACATCTTCCCTCATCCCAGCCTAACACTCATAACACACATTTTCCTGGTCACCAAACAAACCATTGCCTGAGCATGGCAATCACTGTCCTCTAACTTTATAAAATTCAGGTCCAGGGTACAGGGTATATTACAAATGACCCACTATAGTTGAAGACGCTCACAACCAATTCTTTTCTATCTGTAAACCATGACTTAAATATTCTCACCCTCACATCAAACCTCTAATCTCCTCCTACTATGAGACTTGGAGGCCAACTTCCTACTTTGTTTGAACTGTTTCCATTCATAATTATACTTCAGCCTCTGTGGTTCCTTCCCTTCCCCTTCTCTTCTCTCTCACCCCTTTGCTCTCCCCTCCCATTTCTCTACCTTTTCTGTCACATACCCTCTTCTTCTATTCTTCATCCACTCTCTAGGTCTGCCCTTCTTACTTTTTCTTTTTATCTTATTTCCATTCTTGGTATTGTGTTCACAGAACTACAGTTGGAAGCCATACAGGTAGAGCTCCCCTCCCTATTTTTATAAGCTGTGTATTTGACCATTAGTTTTTACAAAATTGTGCTGCTTCTGCAATGAAGGTTGAGAATCTAACTGTGCTATCTGGAAGACATACATATATCTCAAAACAGGATGCATGAAATGATAAATTCCAAGGCAAGTAGGGCAGTTTTAGTATGTAATTTAACTGTGCTTCTGTGCAGATGATTGTCTAGTTCAACTTTAAAGAAATAGTAAAGATTACATTCTCTGAGGTAATAACATTTATAGGAATGAAAGAAATCGAATGTAGCAGAATAGGAAAGCTTTATACATGGTAAGATATAATAGAAAGCATTTGAACCCCTAAAGGCAAGGGCATTATTAGTGATTGACCCAGGAGTTTATTCTTCCTTACCACTTTTCTGACTTTGGCAATCAGGCGAAGGGGCCACGAGGGGCACTTTGAAGAGGCAGCAACACTGCCTCACTTTTTTCTCCCTTTTTTCCCTCCCATGCTTACTTGACTTTCAATCTGCTCCCAAAAATGCCTTCTGCTTTCACTTCCTATGCCCCTCTCTTCTCTTTCCGTATCCTCACTTCTTATCCCTAATTTTCCCATCTACTGAGCTGTCGGGATTACAGTGTGTCCTTACGGTTCACATGCCAAGGGATTTTCACATCATAATTATCTCTCTATGCATCGTAGCAGCTCAAGTGCGCACAATTGACAAGTTCTATTGTTCTCTTACATGACTAGAGTAGATGCATTTATAATGTATCTACACAACCAATATGCCTTTATAACCGAGGAGGACAAAGTAAAACCTAAACTCCTGAATGCATTATCTTTTTTGTCTTCACAAAAGAGTTAGGGGCATTATATGAACCCAAAGTCATTACCACATCAAATAAGGTTCCTGTGTTGGAGGAAGTACCTATCTGGGGTTCTTTCCCTCTATCCAATTAATGGTAGGCCTTTCTTAAGCACTACAAAATTCCTCTTTAACATTTTGATCTGTAGAAGTACAGTTTCAGATTATCAGGCTATTGTCAGTGTCAGCATGGCTTAAGGGTTTGCTGGAAAGGAGTTACCAATTTTACTGTTGGAAAATACTGTATAAATGTACATTTAACAAACACAGACAGCTAAGTCATCTGGAACACAAACAAAACAAGACTTTTCCTGGCACACAGCCTGTATAGCCTGTAAAATAATAATACTGTTTAAAAATGTGTGTTAAAACTGAAGTGTTAATTGCAGAACATTTTCTATATACTTGGAAGTTGCACTACCTGCAGACCTAACTCTGATCTCTCAAAGAGTAGAATTAGGACCACATTTTAAAGAGGGACCTTGAAGAGGCAGTGCGGCTTCCACATATGTTTGCAAATGTTATGCAGCTAAAACCTCTGTTTCTAACTCAAATTATTAGACAACTTTTGTTTGACTGTTAAGTGTGCTGGGAAAAATGTTGTTTTGTTTGAGCTATTCAAAGCCCTTCCATGTGCACCTTGCTTTAAAAGCATCTTTTGCCCCATGTTACATTTTCAACTCATATTTAGGGTACAACACTTAACATAGTCCAAATGCCCCACCCTCAAACAGCCCATTCTCTCCCTGTGGTTTCCTTTCCTCTGCAGCTACTGTCATGTTTGAGGCCTACATATCTGTGCATCTGTGAATGAATTAACTATGTGAATGAGTTCCATCTGCCCCAGTTTTTAAAAGCTAAACTGAGGCGTGTAAAGGAATTCCTGTGAGACGGCTAGCTAATAGAAATGCGCACAGAAATCTCAGCAGAATAGTGACCACACGCACACCACAGAAATGCACAATCTCGCACAGGCGCTCGCACACGCACAGTGAATATTGGCGCCAGACGGACTATTTAAAGGATGCTTCTGCCTGTGCTTAGTGCT